GTCCAGCATGACTGAACTAAGCACATTGAAGTGGATAGACATTTTATTAGAGAAAGAGTGACTTTTGGAGAAGTTTGTCTTCCATACATTGCTTCTGATCTGCAGCTCGCTGATGTTCTTACAAAAGGTGTTGCAAAGAACAAGCTGGAGAATGATCTACGCAAGTTGGGAATGTGTTACATTTACTCCCAACTTGAGGGGGAGTGTTGAGTTGGGCCTAGTTGTTTTTATTCTTATTTTAAGTTATTTAGTTAGGAAGTTGTTGGGCTTTAGGCCCATTAGTTTATGTTTTTAAGTTGACTGTTTAGCTACATTAGTAGCCGCCCTACTAAGGGCATCCTTGTAATATCTCATCCTTTAAGTATAAATTATAATGAGGGGTTGGCGGCTAGGGTTTATCTAAAAATCCTGGTTGACTTCCTACTCTTTTCTCCTCATCTTTTCTTCTCTACTGCTGAAATCTTCATCTTCTTCCTCTTTCCCTTCACAAGAAATTCAACTAAATTTGCAATCAATGATTTCTACTGTTCTAACTTTTTACTGGAGAGAGTTGATTAGTGTGGAGTACTTTGATGGTTTGGGGTAGCTGGTTCTTAGGTAAATTAGGTGATGAGGGAATGTTGAATCTAGGTTGAATAATTTTTTTATAAGTAAAATGATTGTATATTAATAGTCAGAAACAATAACACAATTTTACTTTACCTTTAAAAAAAAAGAAAAAGAAAATAGTCACAAACAATAAACAATACAAGCATCCAATAGAGAGGCACGAGATGCTACCTCTCACTCAGACATTAGAATACAGAAATCAATTACAACTGAGCCCAAATACAAGCTGTCCCTATTTACCCCTTGTTTAGCTAACCCATCTGCTATAGCATTAGCCGTTCTCCTAACCCAAGTTATTCTCATGTTCATGTTCTTAGTTATCCATTTAAATTTCTTCATCTCAACCCTATAACACCAAATTATTGATTGACCAACCCAGTCACGAATTTCTCATGCTCAGTTTACTTGCAATCTGTACCCCTTTCATGACAACGAGCAATTCCACCCTAATATAGTCTCCTGATCCCACAAGACCCGAGAATAAAGCCATAATGTTTCCTTTCTTGTTTCTTAACACCCCTTTTATACCTGGGGGGCCTGGGTTGTCTTGGTTACTCCCTTCAAAATTTAATTTCACGAAGTCTTCAACTGGAGGTTTCTACATAACATTTTCTTATACTCTTTGGGAGGAGCTTCTTGCCAATTCCTTCCAATTTCACCATATATTGTCAAAGGACCAATGAGAGAAAGAGTCCAGGGTCCTAAGCCAATGTATCATCCTCTCCATTATACAATCTCTTACCTCTTCCTTACTTCTCTCCTTTCCTGAGAAGATTCTATTGTTTCTTTCTTCCCACATAATCCAAATTATCACTTCTCTAGCACTTCTCCAGATGATCCTTTCCCTCTTTTTAGGCCAATTGAAGGTAGAAGGGTCAAAAAGCTTATCTACCTCTGTTGGCAAGGTCCACCTACAACCAAACAAAGATAAAAGCCATTCCCAAATATTTGTCGCAAAAGGACAGGAAATTAGTAAGTGGTAACAATTATCTTCATTGGATTTACATAGAGTGCACCTGTTTGGGGATAAGCACATGATGAGTCTTCTTTTGTATGGTGTTAGTGAGTAGTTGTAGAAACTGGCTGTTGGGGTTAGCTTAATTTTGAAGTTTTGTCAATTAATGTAAGGATTTGTTGGGGGATTTTATTGTTGCTTACATCATCATTGTTTGTGATACTTTCATATTTTTTTCTGTATTACCCTTTTTTAGTGAAAATGGTTTTACATAAAAAAGTGTAGTTCCATTGCTTAGCCATGTTCTGAAGTTCATGATAAAGACTATTGTTTTAATGGTTCGGACCAGTCTTGTTCTAAGAGAAAGAAAGAGAGAAAAGCAGTCGAACTAGAGAGATTAACCCTACTAGTCAACCATAATCTCTATTATAATGTAAATAGAGTACAAAGTCAAAACAGAATTGTCACATCATCACATAACTTAAAACATAATGAAAAGACTAATCTACCCTTACTTGACCAACTCTAACACTCCCCCTTAAGCTGGAGAATATATGCCATATAATCCTAGCTTATTACATATATAGTTCACTCTCCCTGAACTCAAACCTTTTGTAAACAAATCTGCCCATTGATCACTTGAACTCGCGTGTTCTGTGCTTATCTCTCCAGTAAGGACTTTCTCTCTCACAAAATGGCAATCGACCTCTATGTGTTTTGTTCTATCATGGAAAATTGGATTAGATGAAATATGGATTGCAGCTTGGTTGTCACAGTACAATCTCATAGGTCTGCCCATTGTGAATCCAATCTTTTGTAGAAGATTTTTCAGCCATACTAACTGACATGTAGTGTGTGCCATGGCTCTGTATTCTGCTTCAGCACTACTCTTTGCCACAATAGTTTGCTTCTTATTCTTCCATGTCACCAGATTTCCTCCAAGAAACGTGCAATAACCTGTAGATCTCTTATTAGACACCGAGTCTGCCCAATCTGCATCTGTGTACCCAACTATCTCAAGTCTTCCTCCTGGTTTGTACAATAACCCATGACCTGGAGCTCCCTTCAGGTACCTTACAATTCTAAGAATTGCATCCTAGTGAGGTACCCGGGGATTTTGCATAAATTAGCTCACCACACTAACAACAAAGGAGATGTCTGGTCTTGTGATGGTCAAGTAGTTCAACTTCCCCACTAACCATCTATATCTTCTAGGGTCATCAAATATTTCACCCGCATCTCAACTTAGCATTCGGTTCCATGGGTGTTTCAATTGGTTTCACACTTAACAGTCCCGTTTCATCCAGCAGATCAGGAACATATTTTCTTTGGCACAAGTTTACACCTTGTTTTGACCTAGCAACTTCTATACCCAAGAAAACACTTCCACTACCACGACCTCCTCGAAATGCATGTCCTCCCCCTTTATTACCACGTCCACTTCCTCTCGCTACAACAAACTGATCTGTCAGACACTGTGGTACTCTTTGTGGGTCCCAATGAAATCTTGCGAAGCCGAGCAAATACTCAAGTGTAGGAAGGGTAGAGCCTCCCAATGTTTGTGCTCTAACTGGTTCATACTCTGATTTCAGCCCCACTAAGAACCTAGTTACATCTAGTTGCTCCCTTTGTTGTTGCTGAATTTTAACATCTGGAGTTAGGGTATGATAGACATTGAGTTCATTTTTGAGGTTTCTCATACTGGCATAATACTCTTCTAGGGTTTGATTCCCTTGCTGCAAATTGGAATACTCCTGATAGAGTTGATATACTCTCATAGTATTATCTTGTCCAGAATAAAGTTTTTTGGCATGTTCCCATATTTCCTTAGCTGTATCTAAGAACATAAAGTTCACACTTATCTTGGGTTCCATATTGTTCCACAACCATGTCATGATTTGGGCATCTTCTTGTTCCCAGTCATCAAACCTTGGGGATTCAGTTGATGGTTTATCTTCCTTCACATGTTCCACCTTTCTCTTTGCCTTGAGAAAAACTTACCCTGACTTGGCCCATGGCACATGATTTTCACCATTAAGTTTAATTGATGTCATCTGCACACCTAGATAGTCTGAGGGGATCATCACACCAGATTTGTGATCACTACCACCATCTCTAGTTGCTGCCATTGTGTCCCCCTCTACTATTTCTAATTCTGAATTATCAGCCACCAAACAAATACTGCTGTCAAGTCAACACTACAACAGTCTCCATATCACTTATAACAATTTCTCAACCAGTCACAATCAAAGTGCTTGATGTAAACTACCATTCAGACACATTCAGCCACTCTTTCAGCCCAATTTTTTTTTTTTTTTTTCACACCACTACTGAAAATCAACCACCATGACTGTTAAACAACCACCAAGAACTCTCTTGAAACTGCTCAATAGAGGGTCTGGAACACCAAAAACACCACCACATGATTGCTAGGGCTGTCACTCATGGTGACAGCAGTATTAGAACTGTTATCCTAGTGCTGCCGCACCTTCCTAACACTTGTAATGAGGATTGCGGCAGTCCTGGATTAAAAAAAACTTTGCTGCAGCCACCTACCTGGGTACCTTAGGTTGCGCAGCCCAAAGAAGAAGAAAAGAAGAAGAAGAAGAGATCGCAAGTCAGGATACTTGAAGCTGCAGCCTTCTTCTCCTTTGTTTAGCGCTCTGATATCATATTTTAATGGTTCGGACCAGTCCTGTTCTGAGAGAAAGAGAGAGAGAGAGAAGAAGAAGAAGAGGAGGAGGAGGAGGAAGCAGTCGAACTAGGGAGATTAACCCTACTAGTCAACCATAATCTCTATTTAAACGGATATCAACTGAATCAATTATTAAAGAATGGGGAAAAGTGACCAAATCCCCTTTAAGTAAAATTTTGATGGACCCAGAATATGCTCATAGAAGGCCTCAGACGAAGCTTTGCCTTTTGGGTAGGAGTGGATTCAGATGGAGGCCTGAAGGGAGATTTGGGGTTGTGAGGATGGATGAGCAGAGGGTCCTTCGAGCCTTAGATTTCTGGTTAGGGAAGCTAGCACTTTCACATCCATAATGAACATCTCATTCTTGTGTTTGAGATCAGCAAATTTTGTAGCTGATTCTTTGGCAAGAGGAGTGGACATGGTTCTGCTTTACCAGGATACAGGTATGCTGCAGTGTTTTTGTTTTGGTACCGGAGCAGCAGCCTTGATTTCCTTTCCTCTTTGTTATTTGTTTCTCACTATGTTGATCATTGTTATTTTGATATGGGTTCTGTTTTTGGCTCCCTTTTGTTAATAAATTACCATTTATTCCATCCCCTTAAAAGACAAAAAAGAAAAATCAATTTCATCATTGCTTGTTTGTGAACTTGAACTATTGTGCTTTCAGAAAGTTCTAGTTAATTCTAAAAATGCTTTGCTCAATCTTCTTTATAAACTAAGTCACTCTTGATTTTTCTGTAGGTTGTGTTAGACAAATTGGTTAAACCTTCCAATGATATAATAGACTACAACACTAGGTATGTGTTATTTATATTTTTGTTGGTAGTTGCTGGTTGAAATTCTCTTTTGTTTTTTCATGTTCAAAGTTCAAACTGTATGTAAGTTGTTCAAGTGCTTCTGTTCTGTTGTCTTCTATGCTTTTAAAGTCCCATCCGTGTTTTAGTTAGATGTACAAATTTGTTCTTGAAGATATTGTTTGTAATCTTATATTTCATGATCATTCATGCTTTTATCAGCACCTCAGTCTATCATCTTGGACTCTTTTAGGTCTATTTTGCATTAGGTCTTACATCAAGAAAACCTGCAGTAGGAAATTAGGGATGGGGATTGTTGTGGGGGAGAGATTGCAGGGTGCCAAATTTAGGAAGCTCCTAATTTTGGAGTATTTTAGGTTTCTATGTTTGTGTTTTCTATTTTTAATTTGAGAAAAAAGTTAAGTATAATAGGGAATCATTGTTCAGGGCTCATTTTTAATTTTGTCTTTTGTTTTCTTTTGAGGGCTCTAGCCTCTTAAGGGTAAGTTATGACAGTTTATCTCCCCCACTTTGTACTTAAATTTTCTTAATGATTAATGAAAGTTACTTGTTATTGATAAAAAAGTTGGTATAATATTTTTTGAAGAAAGTTAAGTATAATGTTATTCAAAAGCAAAATTTATCAAAAAAAAAAAATGTTATTCAAAAGCAAAAAAGATCCCTGTACAAAAGAAGCTGTACACAAGGAAGATACATCATACAAAAGCTGACCAAGCAGCACTATACCTCTAAACCCTGCTTTTTTAAGAAAGACCGTCATGCATTAAAAGAAATTACAGAATCTATATTTAAATAATTTATGTATTGCTAACCAAGAAAACATCTTTCCCAACATTTTCTGGAATACAGAATTAACAGAACAACTCCTATTCTAGAAAACCGTAGGCCTTTCTTTCTTGCTATATGCACCAAAATACCACTGGTGGAACAATATTCCAGGCCAGCCTTCTCCTCTTGCTCAAAAAAAATTAATAGTGTGATGTCAATGATAACAGAAGACATTTCTCTAAAGGTGGTTTCAATGGCAAATGCAAAACCTTAGCATTTTTTTTTTCTATTTTATCAACAACCATCAATTTTGTTAAGGGTATTTGCCCCCTTACCCACTGATAAGGTTAATGGTGAAAGTAAAATTACTAAATTGCCCATTTGAGATTCTATGGACTGACAACAACAAATATCAAAATGATGAAAATAACCATTCTAATGCAGAAATCATCCTCAAGGCGTTCATGAATCAATCATTCTCGAGGTGTTCTCAAGATGAACTTTTGTTCAAAGAAAGTTGAGAGAAACATGTTAATGTTAGGATTTTAGAAAAGTTAAGTTGAACAGTAAAATGGTCTTATAAAATAAGATAAGGGTAGTTTGGGGTTTTAGAAATGCTTAAAGGAATATTCCATGAGGTTAACTAATGAAATGTTAACGATTGGGGCAACATGCTGGGATTTGAAAGTTCGTGGGGGGGCTTAATGTTAATGGTGGGAGATTCTTTAATACAAGTTTCTATTGTTGATCAAAAACAAATGTTAATGGTGGGGACAAAGTGCTGGAATTTGAAAGTTCAGGGGGGTCTAATGTTAATGGCGGGGGCAAAGTGCTGGAATCTGAAAGTTCAGGGTGTCTTTGCTGCAAAACAAAGTTCGGGGGGTCAAGTGTTACTACCCCTAATAGGTTGGCTGTTTGTAATTTTTTGTTATTTACCCTTTTACTAATTATAAAACAATAAAATGTACATACATGCATGCACTCTTTTGACTTTTGAGAGATAAGACATCTTATTTCTACCCTTTCTTTTTTCCTTGCAATTACGCCTGGAAAACTTCATCTCTCCCCACTCCTTGTATCAACCATACTGTTTGTTGCTCTTTGTACCAATTGAATCCTCACTTCTATATCTCTAGTCAACCACCTAAATTTCTTTATTTCATTTCTGCAAGTCCATAGAGCTGCCTCTTCACTCTTCAACCATCCTATCACCAAACTTGAATCTTCTTCAATTATATATATATATATATATATATATATATAAATATAAATATATATACTCATATCCATATTCCTTTTTTCCTTTGCACACCCTCCATTACTGCCATGTTTCATGATTTCAGTCCTTACTCCTTCGGGAGTCTCCTATACCAATTGGCCCTAGGAAGATTGCAACAATTTTTTTATTTTTTTTGAAGGAAAAGGTTACTTTCATTGCTAAGAAAAAAGAGGGAAGAAGGGACATGGAAGAGAATAACATCCAATCACAACAGCCACCAATAAAAAAAAAACAAAAACAAAAGGCCCACCCAAACATGTACAAGGATAAACTTTGTACAAGAAATCCCTTCCCACCCCAGATTTTTCAAGAGCTTCTGCTACACCATTCAGCTCTCTAGGGATCCATCTAAAAGGACAATACACCTGAGACAGAATTTCCTTAATTTCATTAACAATATGGTTCAATCTCCAAGACACAATATGCTGTTCGTGCTCCTAATTTCTAAAAATACCTCCCACCCCTGATGGCCCTGGGATCCCATATTGCTCCCATCAATTTTAAGTTTTATGAACATATTTTCTGGTGGTTTCCAACTTCTACAGATCTTAAATCTTTTTTGCGGATGTACCTGCTACTTCCATTTTCTCATGATGTCATTTGTTGAAAAGGATAAGAAGCTCTCCAAGGATTTTATTCAATGAGCCACCTTTAGTAGTAATGGATTTAGTTAGTGCCTCCTCTTTGCCATCTAAAATGTGGAAGGTCAAATTACAGTATTATCATTGTGTCCCTTAATGTGCAGGGTAAGGCTGTGCACATCTGTCCCTCCCTAGTCCCACATTGGCGGGGGCCTTGTGCACTGGGCTGCCCCTTTTTATTGTGTCCCTTAACTATGATCTCTTGTTTATGTGCAATTATGCTCCTAACTATTAAATGTGTTTTGAGGAAGGTTCCTTGGTTGGTTCCCTTGGTTTTGGAAATTGCACTTGTATCTTTTGTGCATGGTTGAGGTGGTCCATGGTGTCATGGTGAGGTTGTGATGCAGCTGATTCTAATCGCCCATATGGCTGTGGAGTTTGGAAAGGGATTTACAAAGCTTACTCTCATTTTTTGAAAGGAATTAAGTATAAAGTAGGGGGCAGATAACAGGCTGAAATTCTGGATTGATAATTAGTGTGGCGACCTTACCCTAAAGGATGCCTATCCGGATCTGTTTTCATTGACATCTGATAAAGAGATTTCAGTGGCTGCTTCCTATACTAGACAGGGAGAATCATTGATCTGGATGCCTTTGTTTAGAAGGAATTTCAATGATTGAGAGGTGCCCCAAGTTGCAGAATTTCTTTCCACGTTGCAAAGCCTAAGAATACATCCTCAGCTTACAGATCAAAGGTTGTGGAAATGGTCCAAATCCGGAGCCTTGTTCAGTTAAATCTTTCTACAATGGATTGAGGCCTAATTCATCCAGACCCTTCCCTAGTAAAGCCATTTGAGGAGGGCTTTGCTCCTTCAACAGTTAAATTTTTCTCTTGGGTAGCTGTTGAAGAAAAACACCCCATAAAAGAAATGCTGATTATAAAAGGCTTTGCTTCGCCTGACACCCTTTGTGCTTTATGTAATAAAGAAGCAGAGACTTTTAATCACTTGTTGCTCTACTGCGAGTTCTCTGTCAGAGTCTGGCCAAATTTCCTTGTAGCCATTTCTTACCAGAGTTGCATGCCTAATTCAGTTAAATCCCTTTTGGAAAGCTGGAAAGTTGGAGGAATGAGTAAGGGGCGGATTCTGTGGTTTGCTGTTCCTGTGGGCTTTACGGGGCAAAAGACACAGGAGGATTTTTGACCAAAAACAATCTCAATAGAAGCTGATAAGCCAAATAGTTGAAGTTCTGAGAGGCTGGTTGAGCATCAATGTACATATCAAAGAGGAATTTTGGTCTTCCTTTTTGGCTGTTGACTTTTTTGGGAGTTCTTAATGGTGTTCATATGTACGGAAACTTTTGTACAGTGAATGTGATATACTTGTTTACTTTCCTTTTTGATTAATACAATTTTACCTCTTTGAAAAAAAGCATGCACTTTTAAAATCTCGATTACACAGGGAAAAGCTGGGGTTATGATGGTCCTTTGGACTGCTTAGTATTATCTGAAGAATACAAAAATAGGGATATAAAAGACCTTTTCTAATTATCAACAAACAAACAAACAAATAAATAAGAATAAAAGAGCTTCCCTTTACTTTTCTTATTTGCAAATTTTCTGCCCATGTAGTGCACTTTGTGTTTCTTATCTATGCAAACAGCTGCAATTGTATAACTAGATGTACTGGCAAACCAAATTACAGACTACTATGGTTATACTATCCAATACCTACCTGATCTCTTTCTTGTAAATGCTTGGAATTATGGACTCTAGGTGCGTATATGTACTAATTATCTTCAATTAAAGCTACACAAATATGAACTAATTATCTTCATGATGCATGGTAGTTAGCTAGAGGAATAATGAATGGTCCTCAATCCTTTAAACTAACTCAGGACCAATAACCAATGAACTGACTTTGCTAAACCACTGCAAACTTAACAAAAGCAGTTCAAACATTTGATTCTTTCCTCCTTCCACATGGTCCAGCAATAATCTCATAATGAATTTTCCCATCAGGGCCACCAATAGGCAAACCTGAAAAATGTTCAAGAGGCTTCAGGGGCCACCAGTTGAACCCAAAGAGGGCATAAATGATCCCACATTGTTTGGAAACCCTAAAGTGAAGGAGAATATGATTGTTTCCTTGCTTATTTATACAGAATTCTAACTTGAGAGGGACATCTTCGGATCTTCCTCTTAATGAGCCTTTTCACTCTATAGCACTTGCTACACTAGTGTTGAATCCATTGGAAGAATGTTATGTTTAAAGGAGAATGAAATTCCTAATGAGGGAGATGGGATGGACAACAGGACCTCAGCTTTCAATGCTGATGTAAACATGCCTTAAATGATCCTTTAGGATCACTCTCAATGCAAAAGATCTGGCTGATAGATAGCTGATCGTGGTTATGGTCTAAAATAGTTTTCATTGGGCATGGAATTTGGGAAACCTATTTTAAATTCTTCATTAGCCATACTTCACTTATTCTTGTAATGGGAATAAAAAAACTGTGTACAAGCATTGCCTGTGGAATCTGTAATGGATAACTCAGGAACATTGCTGCCAATTCCCACCATGTGTCTGAGTTTCTGAGAAATAGAATTCTGTGCAATACTCTCTCACATTAGGGGGTTCTAACTTTCTTGGGGAAAATTTTAATTATTATGTTTTGTGCAATTAATTTTTCTCTTGATTGTGCAGATACAGTGGAATCACTGCTGAGATGCTGGATGGAGTGACTACAACTCTTAAAGATATTCAGGTTATTTAATATTCTCTCTTCATTTCTTGTCAAACTTGGGTTTGGCAATAAATATTTTTCCTTCTCAGTTATAAGGCTTATGTTTTGTCTTCAAAGTGCAACAATATTGTTTTCATGATGACTCACAGTTTTTCCTCCCCTCACTCTCCCCCCAACCCCCCAAAAAAGGAAGAGTTACTAAAGCTTGTTTACAAAGAAACAATCCTTGTTGGGCACTCTTTGGAGAATGATCTGTTGGCACTGAAAATTTCTCATGATATGGTGATTGATACTGCGGTGTTATACAAGCACCCTCGTGGTGGACATTTCAAGACTGCTTTGCGAGTTCTTGCCAGGAGGTTCCTCTCCAGGGAAATACAGGGTTCAGGAAATGGGCATGACAGTGTTGAAGATGCAAGAGCTGCAATGGAATTAGCACTTTTAAAGATTAGACATGGTAGGCAATCTAATTTTGTATGCATTAGCATGAACTAAACTATCTTTTCACTGTTTAAACTTGTAAAATCTACTAGAGTTCTGCAGAGGTGTCTATTTCCTTGCATTTCCTCTTTATATTCTGATGAAAAGTTATTTTTATGTACAAATGGCAATACCATATATGAAAACAAAATGATTACTTGCTTCGCCATGGAAACTTAATTTCCAACACTACTGCTAATTAGTTCAGGAAAATGTTAGGTGTGATTACAAATCTAATACATTCACTATGCATGGTAAGCATAGATGTGCATTCTGATTATATAATTTGTATATGAAAATTGTGTGGAAAAGAAAAGAAGAACTTAAACATTATCACAAAAATTATGTCATGTCTGCAATAGGACAATATATCACATGATGTAGTGGCTACCATATGCAAATATGATGCTTGTTCAACTGCAAGGGCAAAAGCAGCTTCTCCTTGAAAGCCATCTCAAGTTTGCTTCCTTTGTTCTTGGGGAATATCCCTTTGAAAGAATGTTATTCTACTTTATTCTCTATCTTCTCATACAAAGCTAAATCTGTCTATCATTTTGTTACCTTGTCCAATTTTTCAATATTGTAGGATTTTGGCTTTCAAAGAGCCTCTTCAAAGAGGGGTTAAGGAACGTTAAAACCCCTCTTGCTTTGAATTTGATTAATACACTGGAAGGGGGAGAAGTTTTGAATGCCTCTTCAAAGCTGTAGCAGGCAGACCCCTCCTGCAGATGTGAAGAGCCTCTTCAAAGTTTCATTTCTTATTTCACCAATGAAGAGGGGAAGAACCTTATAGAGAAGTACTAGGGCAGAAGGGCTGCGATCCTCTGGACAAGGAAGCTCTCATTGAAAATGTTTCTATTGAAGTGGTCAATTGGGTAAAGACACTGGACATTTTCCCCCTCTTCTGTGGATCACAATCTTAAAGTATGGTAATTATTAGCATCCTCCCCTACATATAGGCTGTAATCATGGATCTCTGGGAACCATCAGTTTGATGGATGCAGCTTGGGCAATAGGATATACTTTTAGAGATGGTGTGTGGACAATGCTTGCCATATATTCAAGACCTATGGGACATGGGGATTCCTTGAGGGCATTGAGACAGTCTTGCATGACCTAAGGATTAGCAGCAGTATGGGCAATCCAGGGCTCTCCGGTATGGGGGGAGTTATAAGAGATGAAAAAGGGAACCTGTTAGCCATGTATTCTGGTCCAATTGGGGTGGGAGATTCCTTGAGGGCTGGGATACTAGCAGCTCTTGAAGGGGTACAAAGGGCTAAAGACATGAATATCAATAAACTGATCATAGAAGGAGATTCTGAAATTGTGGTGAACTGGCTAAAAGAGGACAACTCTAGGCTTTGAAATTACAACAATGAAAAGAGGAAATTTAAGTGGCTGACTAAGGGCCTTGAAGTTCAATGTACATGGGTAAAGAGAAGTGCAAATTCATTGGTGGATGGTCTAGCTAGGCAAGGGGTGAACAGAAACTCTATTTTTTGGGCTCTGTTGTAATTGCTTGTATATTTTGGGTGTATCATGGCTGTATTCGGGAGTTATGAGTGTTTAGCTCCCTCATTCTGTAATTTTCTCAACCCTTTAATATAATTTACTGTTATTGATAAAAGGGGGGGGGGGGTTGAAGGGTGGTAGTAGGATGGTTAAAAGGAAACAACAATGAACCATGGCAGTATTGGAACTTAACGAAATAAGAAGCTTGGAAAGGGGAATGATGACCACTGTTTCTTGGGTATATAGAGCAGCTAATTAATTGGCAAATTCATTAGCCAAGAATGGGGTCAATAGAGGTGAATTTTTGTAGGGACTGTTGTAAAATCAACTATGAACAGCCAAAGAGAGGGTTAGATTGCAGTTGTTAGTCTAAACAGAGGGCTGCTTGGCAGGCTTGTATGAACTACAATTAGTAAAGTTCACAGTTACCAATCAAAGAAAAAAAATTGCCATGTGCTTGTATCATATGATCTAGCATGTCAGTTTTCATACAAGATAGCTTGTCTTGTATCATAACTTCTGAAGCAGAAAGAAAATATGACCCACTTTGTTCTCTTTAAGTGGTTTGGGTTAAGAGATGTGCTAACTCCCTTGCTGATGGGATAGCAAAGCAAGGGGTGAATAGGGGAATTTGTTTTGGGCTCAATTGTAATCTGTTTTTCTTTTTTTCTTGTTTGGGGGTGATAAGAGAGGTTATCTCCTCCCTTTGTACTCTTTTTATTGATCAATTAAATCCTTTGTTATTGATAAAAAAAGCCCAACTTTGTCCTTGTAACTGCAACTGAAGTCCTTTTCTATTTTCTTAAATTTGTTATTTGTGTTCTAATTTCTCATGTAGTAGAAGATCTACTAATGTGTTGCTTGGTCACTCTTGCTTTGGCATTAGGGCCTGAATATGGTTCACCTCCAACATTCATGCGGAAGAAACTGGTTACCGTTTTGAGTGAGAATGGCAAAACTTGTTCTTTTATTGATGATGTTTCCATAGTGAAAAGATATGCTGCTGGTTCATGCCATTCATTTCCTATATGTTCAGATGATGAAGCTCTTTTGAAGGCTAAAAAGGAGGTTGATGTTATAATTGTATACAAATTTCAATATAAATTATCTACTTGGAAATGTTTGTCTTTGTAGCTTAAGTGGAAACAATTGAGAAATATTTCTTTAAATCTGTTTTTGTTTGTGATTTTAGGTCAAGAATGATAAGGTACACTTCATCTGGACTCAATTTTCAGAGTTGAATTCCTATTTAAAGGGACAAGCAGAGGACACAGAGAAATTGAATGCAAAAATTGCAGAGATGATGTCATTGCTTACATGTCATAACACCTCTACAAAGAGGAAAGGCATCAAGTGCAGTCTGACCTCTGAACTGAAGGACATACTAACTTGCATGGATTCTCGAATTCAAAGCCTCTATGATATGCTACCTATTAATACTATGTTTATTGTATGTACTGGTCATGGAGACACATCAATTGTCCAAAGGTAAATTTTGGTTATACCTATCATATTGGTTCTACTGCTTCACATTTCTTGTATATTTTTCATGCTTTACCTTTTATTTTTCTTATTGTTAATTAAAACTAGACTTAGGTAAGAGGGACTTGAAAAGAATGCCCTACTTTGAGACTATTCTCCAGCTCACAGCATCATAGCACATACCAATACAAAGATATTCTTGGGTTTTTTGGGCAATTGGGACAGGTTGGTGTAACCTGATCCCCTACAAAATCGAGTTCCCTATAGTGTAATCATGACCATATGGGGGGTTTGCCACAAGAAGGAACTCAATTATTAACCCTAAAAGAAGGAAAAGAAAAAGAATTGCTGCAAAAAAGTTGACAGACACAACTTTATAACGATCTTTAATCTTGGACATTCCCCTATAAGACTTCTAGATATGAATTCTTTCTTCCTTCATAGGTAGCTTCTAGGTTCACTAGAACATCTTCTAGCCTCTTTCCTTGACCAAGGCCTCGTCTCCAAATGATTAAACATGCTCCTCTAGGTATCTCTAAAAATACTCCACCAGTATCAAAGCCAACATGGTGTTCTATAGCTTATGCAATAATTTTTACCTCCAGTGAAGAATCACCACCATTGTTTGCCTTAATATGATACCCACATGCAGATACTGACATAGATTTGGATACAGGAAATGGGGGTTTGAATCCATTTACCAAGACCCAGTACATGGATATGATATAGATATCTGATCTAAAATCGGTTTTTGAAGCCAAGCGCGGCCAAATTTCTGTAGACTTCTAAATTCTAACCTATACTGGTATCTAGGTGTTCTAAAAGGTACCTGATTGTTCTAAGCTCCTCCAGCTGTAAATCTATGACCTTCCCACCACTACATTAGTAAGTGTTACATGAAAAAAGGCAGAAACTGAACATGGAATATCCCTTTCCCCTGCATGGACCATAATTACCACATGACGCTATCTGTATTTAGCTTCACAATGCTTTCTTAGGAAGCTATCCATCTTATGGGATTATTGGGCAAAATGGAGAGGTGCATCGGGAGCATAGTTGTCAAGAGGGTGCCCTTTGAGGTTCGCCTCGCCTAATTGCCAAGCAGTTTTCTACTTCCTACTATAAAATACTTTTTTATCCATTCTTTTTTGAGATTATAATTATAAAATAGACATTATTAAACTAAAATAATCATTTTGTGTGTTTATATACTAATTTATTTTTATTATTTTCTTATTTATTAGGGTTAATCAACACAAACATTGCTAAATGCTATATTGAACCCTCAAAGACTTAGAAACCTGAACCAATAAGGAAGAACTTAAAATTTTATCTAATCAGCACATTTTCCTCTTCCATATATTCTTCTTCTTCTTCTTCTTCTTCTTCTTCTTCTTCTTCTTCTACTAATACTACTACTACTACTACCAATACTTTTATTTTCTTCTTTTCCTATAACAAAAATAAGGGTTCAACCCCTATATTTTTTGAATTTTATTTTTCTTCTTCCTTTTCTTCTCATGAATATGCTGATTTTCTATACTTTAATATGAAATTTATACTTTTCCGAAAATCATGAATAATTATTAATGAAATATGGTTATGGTACCTAGGGAACTACCCTAGGATTTATGTTTTTAACATAAAAAAAACCATTGCCTAGGCGACACCTAGGTGCCTGACTAGGCAACAAGGCGCCCTCCAGTCGCCTAGCCTTGCCTTGACACCTTGAAAACTATGATCTGGAGTGTTATGTGGTAGGAGAGTACTACTTAAAGTCAAAAGGAAAAGCTTATAAAATGGTTGTAAGACCAACAGTGTTATATGGAGCAGAGTTTTGGGCAATCGAGAAACTAAGAAACATTTCAAAGAAAAAGTGTAGCAGAAGCAGAACAACAAATGCTGAGATGGTTGAGTGGAAAAACTAGAAAGGACAGGGTCAGAGAAATGAAGTCATACAAAGGAACCTAGTAGTAGCTCCAATAAGTAATAAAATGAGAGAATAAACTGACATGGTTTGGTCATATGCAGAGAAGACCATTTACAGCACTCTTAGGAATAAATGAACTGTTACAAGTTGAATATTCGGTGCCCTGCACCATTAATAACTTCCCCTTTCACCCCTTTTCCCCCCAAAGTGCTGGTTGCAGGATTTGATTCCGCGTTGAAGCTGGAACATACCAGCCAATACACCAACGAGTCAGCCCTCAGTTGGTGGACATGGTTTGAAGTAGTAAGAAATGATTTGGTGTTTAGATGATATCAGAACTTAGTAGCATGGCTTAAGGAAAGTTGACTGTCACAGCCTGACAGTCATAACCACTACATTTAAGATTTGTAGTTTGGTAATGATTTTTGTATGAAAAAAAAGACATAACATGCTTGTTGAGCCAATTGCAGATAAGATAGAAGTTCGTTATGTAATTGCTTTTTACTCATCTCCATTTTGTCCATTATTCTTGTACATGTTGCTGCTGATTGCTTGTGCATGGCATGAAGGTTGAGGAAAATGCTTGTGGAACAGAGTGAGTCCATAACATGCCGCGAAAAATTTGTAAAGGTATTAGAAGAGCTCCAAGCCCAGGCTGAAGTAGCTCTGTGTTTTGCAAGTATCAAGCATTGATTGACGTTTTTGGACAGTTCGAATTCTTTGCTCGGTTATTCTAATGTGGGAAGATGCTTTGTATCATAGTATTGTTTATTCTATTCATCATGCAAACAGCTAATTCCATTAGAAAACAGATGCATGGGGTCCTCACAATTTGAGGCTACCCATGAGGTGATAATATGTATTGATTACGGTGCTAATGATGAAATTGTTTTTTGTGTTGATGCGTCTCCAATATTCTAAAAACATGGCCATACAGAATTCCATCAGGAACGATCACGTTTACTAGCATTTAGCACCCAATTCTAAAAACATGGCAGAAGAGGTTGGACCTATAATCCCCAAAGAACCGTGATACTCTACATTCCGTTACTCCGACGTTGTTGGCTTAATAATTAAATAATTAGGTGGAGATAATTTGGATCAATACACTTCATTTGCTCCGGAGGGTATATTAATTCATGGTTCTTTTGCGAACAGAGTGAAGGGTGTCTGGAATGGGTCAATCTGATTTCAGCACAGCAGTTTGGTTGGGTGACATCCCCATCTGAGGGAATGGCCATTCTGGCCTCTCCCTTTAGGAACGAGAATCTCATTTCAACTGGACAAAAACAAGTGACTTAAAAACCCTCCAAACCAAATGAGGTGAGGGGAGATGAGAGGCAATTTTATCTAAATCAAATGAGAATCTCTTTGAGACTGCAAATCTTATGAAATCTGATATCGATTTCTGTCTAAACCAAACAGGTGAAGGGGGAAGGTAAATCTGAGAGATTTCGACTGTGAACCAAATTGATCCTGAAATCGAGCGGATGGCCGTCTGATGCAGTGAAATAATTTTCAAGCACTGAGTTTTCTTGCTAAAATCGAGTATTACATATTTACAACTGTTGGGTCAGACTTCAGTTGGTCGGTAGTGGTTGGTGGCGTTGGTGCACGTTAGGTCCACTGGCGGCTGGCCGTACTATGTAGGGTCTGCAATTCGCGTAGTCAACAGACTCAACACAGTGGTATCCTGAAGCTAGCGATGTTACAAATCCAGGACCAGAAATTCGAGCGCTCTAATTGCATGCACGGATGGAGGCAGTATGGAATAATTTCTAATGCTGGAGAATGGAGATGGTGCCACTCTCTTATGTCCATCCATATTTGAAATTTGAATTCCAAAGTTCCCAACTATCTCAGAATTTCATTCTACTTGGGTCTTGACTTATCCTTTGCGACGCGGCCATCAAAGTTGAAAGGTCTAATGCATCTTCCAGGAATCAGATGGCATCTTGAATTTGGATAGTCAAACATAGAGAAGACAAGTTGGAAGGTTGAACTCATCATGAAGTTGAACTGTTACACATAAAGCAACAAACATGATATAATATATTTAGCTGTCAAATGCACTAAATTAGTTTGGCATCTATGGTCATTCTACAAGGTCTTCAACAAAAACAGGAAAAAAAGGAAAGAAAAGGGAAAAAAGAAGAAAATATTTATTATTTCCTCCCAAGTTCTAACCTAACTTAGCTTATAGATGTGATGCTGATGCATATATAATATATATACAATGATAATATAATATGATTATAGTAAGAAATGTAAGGTATTTGCGCTGGACGTTGCAACAAATACCTAAAATGATCAAAACCGGTCATCTCCATGCAGAAGACACGATCAAGTATTTTTCCTCCCATCCAAAAAGTAGTGCCCCTTTCTCTTCCTTCACTGAGTACCTATCACAATATTGCTTCAGTAGTTTTTGGATTGTCTCATTGACAGAAGTGCTCATAGGACATGATGTGAAGCCAGTCATCATCATCCTTGCCCTCCATTTCCCTGCAACCTCATATCTTTCTACCCTCTCTTCGCCTTCGCATGCCACGATGTTGACTATGTCTCGTGCAAGGCACTGTCTTTCAACATTCATCCTGTCTGGGCTCTCCCTTGGAAGTGTTGCATCAAGTGAATCATATACAGCTGAGTAGTAGTTATATGCCTCAACAAACCTTGTAAAGAATGGGGCAGTGTTGGCATTCATATCTTGTTCAACCACTGTCACTAGCTTTGGATTCAAGCTCTTGACCATGCGAAGGAGCTGATCCCTTTGGTTTACTGTTGATACACTCTCATCAGGCATGTGGTGGAGTTGGAAGGCAAAATTGACAATGACTGCCTCATTAGGCTGGCAATTCAACATTGATGGGGTAACATCTGCAATTTTGGATGCTAATGCTTGGAATTCAAAAGGCATTCCAAGAGCCTCTGCAAGATTCTCAAGCCTCTGTCCAATGATCATCAGGCCACCAACTGCGCGTTGTATAGACTCCGGATCATCTACTGCAGTTATTTTAATGTGTGGTGGCTTGCCTTGTCGAGTAGCAAGAGCTTGTATCAGTGGAATGTACTGGCTTCCTTGGTTTATGTCAAAATCAATAATGTGGACCCTCGATTCATCCTTGACAGCTTCTGCTATTGCGGCATTGGCTGCCATGACCCCAAACTTAAAATAGGGGCAGACTTCAAAGAGGACTTGCATGGCTGAAAGCCGATCAGAAGAGGGTGGTTCCTTGCATTTCAGAGCCTTATATAATCCTTTTCCTGATGCAGCCATCCGGGCTGCAAGCCCTTCTACCATATATGCTGCTATCCTCTGGGGAGGATCTCCTTGAATTGAGACCATCTGCCGAAGCTCAGTTATCATAGATGATGCTTCCTCCATGTTGCCTTCTGAAATTGAAGCAGCACAGTCAAAAAGCAACTGTTTAGGGGTTAGGATTCTAGAAGAGTGTGGGGTGGAAACAGGAGGTATCGTAGGGGTCTCTGGTGTCAACTTGCTGCTGCTGGAGCTACTGATATTAGAGTCTGAGGATGAAGATTCCTTTGGTGAATTGGGGAGTACGAGATTCTTGATAGATTCAATCCACTCACAATCAATATCCATGTTTTGGTCCATACCAAACACATAATCATCAGCATCATTATCATTGAGGAGTGTTCTTTCCAGTTCTTGGAGCTTTAACCTAACCTCATTATCATCATCATAATCTAGTGTTCCATTGTCTGGGCTCTGCTCATCTAAGTATTCTGACAAAGAATGAGATTGATAGGCAACAGGATGTCTCATGGATGTGAAAGAGGAATTAAATGAGTTCTGTGTACTGACAGAAGAACTTGATGTGGTCATAAGCTGGTAAGAAGAGCCACCTTGAGGACGGAACATAGCTCCTGGAATGGCAGACTTAGCAGGACGGAGAAACTCCATCTGTGAAGCAAGAAATTCTTCTCTAGGAGAGCTGGTGAAGTTTGATTGGTTATAACTCTCACAGCTATAGGAACTGGGTTCTACTTGAACTTTTGCTTGGCTGAACTAAATGTTTGAGGGTATAAACTGGAGTTATTGCTTCTGCCTTCGAGTTTGTAGAGTTTATCTTCGCTGTATGAAGTAGCAATGGATCTGATATCTAACTAAAGACATGCATCCCTTTAAACCACTCACAAGTATTGGGAAAGATTTTTGTAGAATAAAGAATCTGAGTCCAATGGGCAGAAAGAACAAAATGGGTCTCCTCTTTTCTTCAAGCTGGCTAAAATATCAGCAAGTCTGTAGAAATGGTTATATATGGTCCCAGAATCCTCTGGAGCCACTAAGGTGCCTGGACTCAAACAAAAGAAATGATGGGTTAGAATGCTAGTTCAGCAAACTATAACAGCATGTGCAAACCATTAATAGAAATATCAGTACTGCAGATGTTCATAAACATGGCCAATGGGTAAGGAAGTATAGGATGAAAAGATATTCTTTAGATGCTGAGTGGAATATGCTCTGGAACCGTAGTATGTTATTTCTTCACTCCACATCAAATGGCATTTGTTAGGCACGTGTATAATCCTATATTATGAAAAGACCAAAACAAATGAAAGTTTTGATTATTTTTTCCATTTTCAATTTCATTTTTCTTCAAATCCGTCATGCAATTGTGACTGATTTGGACTTAACTCTTTCCTTAATTATTGCCTCTTGTGCAATTGTACTTCTGCCATTGTTCCCCAACCAGAATCACTATGGTCAATTGGCCACTACAGGTTTCTCATTATCACCACCACTTCAGCACTGGAATAGGATTTTCTTCTCTATCATGATTATGACCTTTGATCTTCATTGTAAATTTTGGTTTAAGATATTTGGGACATGGCTCCTAGACCCACAAGTTTTCATATATAAACTGTATAGCATGTCCAGATTCACAACTCTAAAATACATACATTTTACAAGTTTATATTGTGTGATCAAGTACATGGAGAGTTCAAATTTAATCATGTAAAACAATGCAGAAACGATGTGGGCTGGTTAAATTTTGTGATTTTCCTTTTGTTACAGGATACCTCTTCAAGGTTCTTGTACAACCTTAGAAGCTACTTCTTGATATCATGCAAACAGGTAAAACATTGTTAATCCACTAATTTCTTTGAGAGAATGGAATGCAATTTAGTAATGAAAAATCAAGGCAATAGAAGGTGAGGGGACTCTTTTTGACAAATGAGGAAAAATTTTCACAAGAATGGTTCATGTAGACCAGTATATTTTATATTATTTTCTGTGCATGCAAAACAGGACAATCACAAATCCAAATATAGCCTCTAAGAACACCTCATAATTTTCATATAGCAAGCAAGTGCCATCAAGATGGACATCTATTAAATTCGCTTGAGATTCAAAGCTCTACTTAATTTACCAAAAGCATGAAATTTATTCTAAAATTATACACTGATTTTTTTTAACTGATTATGTTCTCTTGAAAGTTGAAACATGCGTAGCTATGTGGCCCAAAACTAAGAAAATTGAAGCTGAAAGCAATAACCAATTAGATCTAGCTGACTTTTTACATAGAGGAAAAAAGATCTCTTGAAGCCAACAAACATACCACAAAAAATGATGTAAAATAAAGGAAAACTAACAAAGTTTATAAGAAATAAGCAGGTTAAAGAGAAGTAAAAAGCTCAAAGGAAAGGTGCTACCAAGGAATAAATTAGTCGAAAGTTGTTCAGAAGTGAATCAATATCTAACATAGCGATCTAGGAATAAGCAAAGAAACTTATTATCATGTGAATTTTGTAGAATTACGTCAAATTAACAATCTAGATCCTTCAGATGCATCTGAAAAGAATAGATCCAAACACGCCCCCTCTCCCCAACAAAAGAAAAATGAGAGGAGAAGCTACAAGCACGAGACGGGAAACAAAAAAGTGAAAATATTGAAGCTAATCCAAGAAAACCATGGTAGATTACCTGGTACAGAAGGAAGACATCAAGATCGAGATCGTATCAGCAATCAAATCCCGAAACGTGAAATACCCAGATGGAAGAAAAGCCTGAAAAATGGGCGGAGGGAAGACAAAATTTGGGTTTTGACCATGGAATCACAAGAATAAGCAAAAAAGTTAAAGCAAGAAAGCACCTTTAAGGAACCTTTTACATTAAAAAATTGCAGATTTGAGTGGTTAAAAAAGGCAACACCACATATGAAGAGCAAAACAATGGGCGGATGAAGAACAAATATGAAGAAATCAAAAGACCACACGCTTTAAACGCTATAAGAAAATATAAAAGAATAAAAAGAAAAGAAAATTGTGAGTTCCTTGTTGGAGAGTCTCAGAACCCAATTCAAGAATCTGAACAGATCAAATTTCCAAAACCCATAACCAAGAGCCTACTCCAGGAAAACCCAATCTTCTGGGTATATGAAGAAAAGAACTCACCAACAATCCCTTTCAAAGAACCTTCTGAGCTTCACAAATCAAACCCACTTTTTCCATCTCCTGCGTTCCTTATTCATCCCCTTACCCTCTGCCCCTAGTTTTACTTTTCTCTTTGTCTTTTCCAGTTTTCCCCACCAAGTTATCAACTCCCTATTGTCTTCACGTTTATACCCACTCGTCTCTGATGCTGTTGATGGCACATAAACAAACAACAGCAGATGTATGCACAATTACAGGTTGAAAGAAGTTAAGTGACCTTGGAAACAGCTGACTGTTTCAGTATCAAAATCCAAACCGTTCAGTCAGTCAGACCGTGTCATCTGATGGGTCTTGTTGGGGAAATATGTGTGGCTTTGGATGAAGGATCCGGGAAACAAACATGGTGCGAACACATTGCATCAAGCATCAATGGCGAGCTCTTTTTGTCTATTTTTCTCAACTGGGAATCATGACTGTTTATTAAAAAGTCAATGATCGCTTATTAAATATTTCCGCGTATCAACTCCTTGTGGTTGTGGCTGTGAAATGGCAAACGAAACCTTGACAATTGTGGGTAAGTATGGTTGTACCTAACCTGTGATAAAGAGAATCAGATGAGTAATGAAGTCAATTTCAGTGGTGAGGTCGTGCACTAACTCGCTTGATTCTCGAGTGCCTTCTGCACTGAATGGCATGAGTTGGAAATACACAACAAGTCCAAGTTGTCTATTGTTAATCCCAACTCAGTTGACATCTCTACCTTATCCAGTACACAAGTTAATGGACTTCAAATTAAGTGTGTGTTTGGCATCGATGCTGGTGATTGATGTGTGGATTGCAAGTATGGTTTTCTGAGAAGATGGTGTTTTTTTTTTGTTTAGAAAAGTTGTTGTTAGATAGGATATTTTCTAGAGCAATATTAATGTTTTCTGCTTGATATCAATGTTTCAGTAAATGTTTTCATATTGGTATCTATTATCCAGTGTCACATCATGTTCATGTCACTGCCACCTCATGTCCTTGTTGGCAGTAACAAGTTGTAGTTCCAAAAAATGCTAAATTTAGTGTTGCTCCAAGCCATGCCTTCTCGATTTCCAAGGCATGGCTTGAAATACTGTTTTTTATCGAAAAACAGTTCCAAACAAACAACCATTTCTTGGAACACCTTCCAATATAGCACTGATGTGTCATCGTTTTTCTGGAGCAACGACATCGATGCCAAACAGATGCCAAGTATTTGTTTGGCATCGATGCTATAGATATAACACTATTTTCTCAGAAAATGGTGTTGTTGATGTGTGGGTTGGAAGCATTGTTTTCTGGTGTCTTTTTTGTTTTTTGTTTGGAAACATTGCTGCCAAGTATGACATTTTCTAGAGCAACAACAGCATTTTTTGTTTGGTACCAATGCTCTAGGAAACGTTTTCAGCACTGGTACCTATTATCCAATGCCACGTCATGTCCCAGTTGGCAGCAACGAGTTACAACTCTAGGAAATAGCAAATTCGGCATTGCTCCAAGCCACGTCTTCTTGATTTCCAAAACGTGGCTTAGAGTACATTTTTTATGGAAAAACGGTTCCAAACAAATAAGTGATTCCTGGAGCATCGCTTTTTCCAACGTGGCACTGATGTATTGCCGTTTTTTGGAGCAATGGCATCGATGCCAAACAGACGCTAAGAGAGAAAATAGCAATAAAAGGATTTTACAAAATAAGATAAGCTCATTCCTCTTGTTTTTGTTTAGGTGGTGTTTGGTTTGTGATTTGGAAGATCCATGAGCCTGTTGAAAAATTGGGTTTTAATGGTTTGAAAAATGAAATTTAATCAGATTCTTAGACCATGCAATACATTCTCTAACCCATTTGTTGGTTGGGTTTTGAACCTGGAAAAATAGGGGTTTTAATTTTGAAATTTGAGAAAAAAATTCAATAATCAATAATTAATGACTATATGTTGCTTGTGCGGAGATCAATATAGCAGATCATATTTTGGTAAATAAATAAGATGAATTGACTAGTTCAAAATAAGAGGAAATAGCTACTGAAACCAGGAGTCAGTAAGCAAAGTTCTCATTGTTCATTCTAAAACCATGCCGAACGCAAAACTGACCAGATACTGGACATGACCTTGGTGGGTCAGTTGGGGTTTGGGGGCTAGATGACTTGTAACATATGATTCCATATGTAAATGTGCCCTTAAGAATCAAGGCCATGAAATGGCATTATTATTGTAACTGTGAAGATTATTTTGATATTTCCAAGTTGATATTTTCTGATTGGAGTCTACTTAACACCCATACCCCACATTATGGTGGCATGAGTCCACGTGGCACCAATCAAATGGTTAAAAGCGCCTTCATTATCCTAGTAAATTATTCTTAGTCCTAAGCTATTGGAGGATGGCTAGGCTGGGTTTTATTGGACTTCACAATTTACAGTTGATGGACCCTTTTCTTTCCACTTTCCTAGGTGCTGTAATCAAATATCATTGGACCTCGTCTCATGATGTATTTTTTTTCTTAGTGGAGTAGTTGGGGTGACTGTTTACTGTGGGATCTGTCTTTATGGAATGGCTCTTATGAGGACTGCCTCTTATGGGAGCATTTAATGTTAGGAAATATTTGATTATTTAATGAAAATCCTTAAAAATAATTCACATATCTGCTCCTCATATAGCGCGGATGGGAGATATGCGATAAAGACATGATGTGAGGTTAGAGTGAGGAGCAGATTCGGACTCCTAATATACCTCCTTTAGGGGGGACATTTAATGTAATAAATACCAGTCATGGGCCGTTTGATATCGACTCCTTAAGGGCTGAAGGTTGGGGAGTCTGAATCTGCTACCCACATGACAGTGGCACACTGAGAATATTTCCCATGAACGACAGCATATAAATATTTTCTTTTGTGTGGCTTTAGTGTCATTTGGGGAAGGTGCCAGCTTAACTTGGTGGTAAAGTCTCTAGTTCGTTGTAATGAAGACCTGTGTTGAGTCCCACCTTCTGCAGGGTTTGAGGGTAGGGGTGGGGGTAAGGGTTTGGTAAAGTCTCTAGGTGCTCCTCTTGTGTAGTCGGCCCATTTGCGTACCAAAAAAATAGGGTAGCAGATCTGATCTCCACATGAGCCCAGATCTCTTGCAAGCAAAAATTCTTTGCATATAGCAGTCAGCTGTATATTAATTGAAAATATCTTCCGTAAATGTATATTAAATTCATGGAAAATGTTTTCAATCTGCAACTGTATTCTCATACCTGCAAAGTGTGTGGAGGTTTTGCTCTTAACCTCTAGGGAATCCATCACGATTTATGTACCCCTTGAATTAATATTTTATTAATTATTTTATCAATTAAAAGATAAAGCACTAAGTTGTTTAATTCAGTTTCTATCCCATAGAACCAAACTTCGTAAAACCTAAAAAGAATGGATCCACCATCACTAGGAGAGGAAAAACATGTTTTGAATACTTCCACAATAAAAAAATAAATAGATAGATTAATGAATGGATAAACATTGAGCTCTATGGAAAGGGATATGGATATAAAAAAATAAATAAAAAAAAAACAAAATTGTTACATTCAAGGACATTAGCCATAGATAGCAGCCCTATAAAAATTCCTACTAACATGCCCATAATAATAAGAGGCTTGGCTTGTAAGAGTTCATGACCCAGTAGCTGAGATGGTTACTTGGCATCCCTTTGAATATGGAGGTGCGGAAAAAATTCACATAATTGCAACCCTCCCATTTGGTTTATTTTAATGAACTTCAAAAAATGGCAAGAATGTTCTATCGAGGTTCAAAGTATCGATATGTATTGACGACCAGTATTGGCTGATATGTATTATTCCGGAACCCCTCTGATATGCCCCCATAGTGGGTGTATTGGGGGTCTGACCAGTTCAGGGGATGGAGGAGACCTAAACCGGCCCCCCTAAACTGGTTTCAGAAAAAAAAAAAAAAATAAAAACTAAAAATAAAAACAGTATCGATTTGCCCAATACACCTATACCGACATATTTTAAACTTTGTGTTCTATATTGAAATTAAGGTTGTGTTTGATAGGATTATTTGTGAATCGATGTAAAACCTCATCAAGTATAAAGTTTTACATCTATAATCGATGTAAATACTATATCAATTTTATCAATGTAAAACTTTACACTGTTTTTATCATGATTTTCAAAATGTAACGGTTACCTATATACCTACATCGGATCTAAACGTATATAGGTCTGATGTGAACAGAAGGACAGATGCACTGGCCAATCTAGATGGTCCGTCACGTCCAGTTGATGGTTTTGATATGCCACATCATCTCTCTGCATGCATGGCATGTAGCTTGCGTAAGAAATCTCCCTACTCAATCAAAGAGTGAACACTTTATTATATTTTATGTAATATATATTTGTTTTAAATAAGAAAAATAACTAAATCTTTTCATGATTATTTGATAAAGCTTTTATTTTTCAAAAAAAAAAAGTTTTTCTTGAGAAAAGTTAATAAGTTTTTTTCAAGGGGTTAACATATTTGCAAACATCAGACAGGAACTCACCAAAACTAATTTCTTGTCCATATCATATGTCAAAAACCTATTTTTAATTTTATTTGTTAAGAAATTTGACTCAAATCCCACAAGATTAAGGGGGTATTCGTCAAATTAAATATATATGGTTTTGATTTCAAAACAAAAATAACTACCACATCAGCAAAATGCCAATATCTATGATTTCATTTTTTGAAAAAAATGCAATTGCTACATCAGCAAAATCATATTGTTTTTTTTTTTTTTCTAACATAACAATCGTTTTTTGTTTTCAAAGAATGAAATCAGACCTATCAGCATACAACCCCTAAATTAAAAATTGCAGAAAAATAACTTAAATTGTTATTTTCATTTTGCGTTATTTATGCGGGATAGAAGTAAAGGTTGACTATCAAACCCATAAGATCAATCTTGCGCTGATGGAGGTCATCTTGGTTTTAAGTCAGAACTTTGTATGTTATTGTTAGGTCAATCTGGATATCTTCACCCATGATAATAGGAGCCCAAAGAAAACTTGAAACAGATTGTTAATCTCTATCTAGTATCCAGTACTGGATGTCATGGTTATCCATGACTTTTGGGAGTTGTTTCTTTGTGAATTTCAACTTCGAATGCCAATTAATTTGTAACCGGTCTTAATCAAGAAGAAAGGCTTAAAGAACCAATGTGAGGCTCAATTCTAACCAGCACACAAATTTATAATAATCACTGGGGTCAGATTAGTTGAGCATTATCCAAATGTTAATTCAAAAGTTTTAAAGGAGAGAGACCAAAATTCTACCAGGAATCTAGTTGATAAAGATCCATCTTGCTTCAGTTCCCACCATTGCTTTATATACTTCAGTCTGGATGAGCTCTATAAGGTCAATGAGATGGGGCTGTCCAATTTGGTCCAATCCGCGCGAGGCCCCATTTTTA